TTAGCTGGATCTGCCTTCTCTCCTGTGTGCCAGCGCTGCAGGGACAGACACCGTCTCGCAGGTCAATGGGGGACTGATCCGGAGGCCTCCAGAGCTAAAGGCCCAAGCCGTTTCGACCAGAGCTCACAGGTGACAGCTTGCAGGTTGGCACAGCTTGCGGGAGCCCGTAACCGATGCTCACCAAAGAGTTATGCTGGCTGATGTCTGCCTTGGGATCACTGCTGGGCTGGCTCTGAGACTGGACAGGACCCAGTGCTACCATGACACAGAGCAAGAGCTTTGAACGAGCACGTGGCTTCATGGCCCCTTGGTAAAAACCGCCACCCAGCAGAGAGATGAGGCTGGACACGGCCCCTGGGCATTGCTGCAACCAGTGCTAGCCCTGGAGCAAGCAGCGGAGGAGGGCTCAGCTCCTGCCTGGGCATTGACCAGCACGTTGTCCAGTCTCAGCACCGTAACATCAGCGGCAGTAGCTGCTCGAGGGGCCAACTATGATCAGCGCCCTGCTGTGCCGGGTGCTGTACCTGCACACGGAGCGACAGGGCCTGCCTTAAAGCACCGACAGTTCAGGCAGAGAGAGAGCAGGAGAGGAGCTGGAAATAGGGGACATGGCCAAGGGCAACCGGGAGGACAGTGGCAGAGCTCCCATCCCACCCAGAGTACTGGGGCAGGAGCTGTGTAGTTACCCCTGGTATGGGGGGTGGGGGGAGAGGGGGCAGTGTCCTGGCTCAGCCCCTCACCCGAGCTGTGACCAGGCTCAGCCTTTGCCAGGCAGCCTGCACAAAACAGCTTTTCACAGGCGGGCTAGACAGGGGCCCCGTGGGGAAGAGGAGCAGCAAGGAGGCAGCCTGGAGCGAGCAGGGAGATGGGGGATAGAGACGCTCTGTGTCGCTTCTCCCCCTGGCGCCGCGCCCGCCTGCAGAGCAGCTCAGAGGCTCCTGTGTGCGCCGAGCTCCCACCGGGCACCACAGACAAGGTCCCTTTCTCTGGCCGGTGCCGAGGCACCTGCGGCCACGGGGCTGGAAGGCAAAGGAGCCGCCAGCCAGCGGCTGGATCCCCAGCAGCGTGCGGTGACCGGGCACGGAGGCTCCTCACGTCCCCTCCGGCCTGGCTCGCGCAGCCCAGCTCCAGCACGCAGGGGCCAAGGCTGGCAGGTGCATCCCAGCTGCGGGCACCGGGGGTGTCTCGCACTCGCGGCCCGGTTCCCACAGAGGCACGGAGCAACCCCAGCTGCAGCAGGCTCCCGTGGGATCTGCGGGGGCTCAGCCCCTCCGAGCAGCTCAGATGAGATCCTGCTTGAGCCGAGGCCTGGGAAATCCTGACCGTGCGGCGAGAGGAAGCAGGGATTCACTGCTGACGCTCGCGTGGCTGAAACGGGGGACACGCACAAAGGAATGATGATCAAAACATGCCCAAGGAGGCTCTTTTCCAGTCACTCGTGGGGGAGGCTGGTTGCAAAGGGGACAGGGCCCTGCACTGGTGTTAAAAATGGCAGTTTGGGGGGTCACCCTTCAAGCTAGGCCTGCTGAAGCCTCCAAATGCTGTAAGAGGAACGGAGCCGGGACAGCCCATGCATGAAGACTCTCTCCCCTTTTACACCCACTCTGCGAAAGCCGGGCTGCCACGTGCTGACCATGCACGGTAGCCCAAGGGTCTCCTGCAAACACTAGTGGTCGGAGAAGTGAGCTAGCAGGGTGTAAAGCCTCTGGGGAAGGCTGGTGGGTTTGCTCCTGTGCATGGAGGGGCCAGTTTGCACAACACGTGGCATTATCATGCCCAGCCTGGAGCACGGATGCTGCAGGTCTCTCTCCTTCCTGTGCCAGATGCAAACTGGGACTGAAGTGGAGGTCTCAAGAGCAAAATGCACGAGCCACTCCAGCAAGAGCTACTAGGTGCTGGTTTGGAGCTTGGTGCCCAGGCTTGGGACACAAAGGGGAGCCTCTCTCAGGCCTTGCTTGCCCTGTCCAGAGGCCAGGGCTTGGAAGGTGCTGGCCTGGGCCTCCACCATGGTCCCTCTTCTCCCCGTGCCCTGCTTCACTGCCAGAGCGTTTCCCACAGAGCATCTTGTCCTTGCAAGCTCCCTGCTGCCCGCACCTCTGTCACAGCTGAAACGTTTCACAGCAGCAGCCGTGACCTTGGCAAGGAGGTTTCCAGGGACCAGAGTGGACATGCTGGCCGCTTGCAGGGCGAGAGAGGCTGACCAGCATGAAAGCCCCGGCCTTTTGGGATGGCAGCCCTGTGCAAGCAGGCCTGGCTTTGTCCCCACATGGAGGAAAAAAATTCGAGTCAAGGAGAAGCGCCCCCAGCACCAGATCCAGGCTCAGATTCAGACAGGGCAAGGCCAGAGGGACCGTGGGGAGGAGAGTGGCCTGCAGCCCTGTGAACAGAAATGCAGCCACGTCAGGTCCTGCTCCACTTGTCCAAACCATCACGAGGGGACACCTTGGAGGAGGCAGCAGGGCGGTCACCACCCGTGCCCTCTCCAAGCTTGAGCCAGGGCTCAGAGCTGCTGCCATTGTGAGCGTGGAGAAGATGGGCTCTGCTCCCCACTCCCTGCCTGCCCTCGGTCATGTCCCTTCAGCCACTGGTTCAAAAGGCAGAGCTCAGCACCAGGCTCTCCTGCCATATGCCATCACCTGTGCCAGCACAGAGAGACCTTTGCCTTCCTCATTGCACCTGCCCATCGCAGCCGAGATCTGCCGAGCCCTCACACAGCCCTGGGCTCACCTGGGAGCAGCTCACCTCCCATCCAAAGAGGCAGGAGCTGCTCTGGGCTCATTCTTGCAGCTCCCACCCTCAACTACACAACACTATTCAAAGTTATTTTGGCCTGGTAAGTATTTAGTATAGTATTTCTCCTGCCAGGTCAGTAACAGGATTAAGTTTATTAGAAAATGTTAAGCATCATAGAACAGAAATCACGAGGCCATATGGGAAATACAGAGATCTGAGCCAAAAGACCAAGCAGCGTGTTTACCCTCCCACTAGGTCCATCAAGCCTTGTATCCAGTCTGGACGCTGAGGGTCGGACCCAGGGAGCAGCTGCTCTTAATGGCAGGCTTTGCTCCGGCACACAAGAGCTGCTTCCAGTCTTTTCTGCCTTGAGCATCACCACCCTTGGCCCTGAGCAAAGGTCCGGGAGGCCACAGGGAATCAATGGCTATTTTAAATGCGTCCCAGGTTCAAATCTCACAGGGTTTGTAGCCAAGAAGCCCCTGCAGTGCAAGGCGGCCTGGCTCCCAGCCCACAACGCCCTACCACATCCATCCTGAGCACACTCACAAGCAGGGGAGGCAGCACCCCGCCACGGAGACCTTGGATCAGGACCAGCAAAAAGGGGGCTGCTTGTTCTGCCCCATCCCCTGCAGAAGGGTCCCCTAACAAGCTGCTGGGAAAGCTGCGCCACGTCTTGCTTTATGTAACAGCCCCAGCGAAGTCAGCTTCCCCACGAATGCTGCAGCGAGGTTGCAGGCTGGGTCTGTGCAGCGGGGAGCTCCCTTCTCCCAGGGGACTCAGCAGCAGCATGGCAGAGCTGGGATAATATTGTTTTTGATGCCTGGACACTTTTCAGGGCAAACACCCAACATCACTCACAACAGACAGCAGCATAACGCTCCCCCTGCCGTCCCCTAAGCCCTGGGGCTTAGTCAGATGGGGCTGCCGCCCAGGGCAGCCCTGGGCAAGCTCCCTGCATGCTCTGGCTGACAGCTTTTCCTGGTGGGCGCAGACGGCTCTAATGCTTCCCAGGCCTTTGATCATTCAGGACAAGGTGACACACTGGAGCAACCTGGAGACACGGTCATCTGTAGACCCCGGGCAGCAGCCCAATAACCTACAAAGGCCCACATGCAGCAATAACCTGCCCCCTTCCAGCAGATGGAGATGGCCATGAGAACATGAAAGTCTCACGGGTTTGTCCCAAAAGCCATGGGGGTAGCAGTTGCACCTGACTAGCTAGACGGGGTTTGGGACAGGAGCTGGCGGGCCAAGTTCTGCCCTTGCCCTCAGTCAAGTGCCCTGAAGGCAGGCCATGACCTTAGGGAGCTCCAGCAAGGGCTGAACTCTCCCTACAGATCTGTCCGGACCCTAAAGCGCCACAGCTACAGCCCTGACGAGCAAAGCACTGGCTGTTGCCAGGACTGCTGTGTATCTTGGCTAATAGTGACTATGGGGATTAAGGGTGACGTGGCCTCACGTTGGAAGGGCAATTCCAAGCTGGCCTACTACATATTTCTATTCAAACGGGTATCAGAGCAATGTCACACACAAAGAGCACAGCTGCACAGTGCCCTGGATGGCAGGTAAATTTATATGAGTCGGATGCCAGATAGGGGAGTCTTAAAAGGGTGCTGGTCCTACACCCATACCTACTCTCAGTGGAGTCTGATGGTACTTTCAGTCCACATGAACCTGGCTCTTCCAAGTCACTTGGATGCAGAAAGGATGCAAGCTAAATCAGGGGTGGTGTTGGTCCTCCAGTCCCTTCCCACAATCCCCTGGGACGATCTTGTTTACCGTGAGAGGATTGAGGCAGCTCACCTTACGGCAGCACAAGGGATGTGGCTCCAGCTGTCTTAGCAATACGTATAGGTAACAAGCATCCAGAGCGGCGACATCGCACACAAGCGCTCCTAGGAGCTGCTCACTCGGAAAGGAGGACATGCCAGGAACCGCAGAAGTCATTCGCAAGGGGTCCAGCCGGGGTCCCCGGGTAGCGGAGGACTAGTAACTCTGGCCTCTCTTCATTGGGTATAATCTTAGTGTTCGCTGCTAGATCCAGCAAGCACGTTTCACCTTCTCCGAGTCCAGACTTCATCCTTGCGCACCCGCACCAGCAAGTGGCAGAATTCAGGGCTGTTCTTTGCGCCCCCGCTGCAATCAGGCTCTCAGCACCTCGCCCTTACCTGTGAAATGGGCTTGCCACTTAGCAGCCTGAGCGCAGCACCGCTCATGATCGCTTGGACCGGAGGCGGGAGACAGACCAGTCAACATACTGCAGCCCGGGTTATTAACAGCCAGAGAGCCATGTTTATTACTTTCAGATGTTTCTATACAGGCGGCATGAACAATCGGGGGGAAGGGAAGCACAAATAATGTGGAAAATCCATTTCCCTCCCAGACACATCCCTGCCCCACCGGATCCTGGAGAGAGAAGGAAACTCAGAACATCGCAGAACACAAGAGATGCCCAGGGGTCACGGAGAAAAGATCCAGGTTGGTTACGAGCCGCGAGAGGCTGCGCACAGGGGCACGTCCGCCGCCTCTGCGGCTGTGGACACAGAGATGAAAATCCCACGGCTCGACAGAAAGGAGGAGGTGGTGCCTGAGGGCTTTTCACAAATGCTTTATTGTTGGTACGCCGGAGGAATGGACACCGAACAAGATCCTAACAGAATGAAGCTGGTACATGGACAAAGAGGGCGCTGAGCACAACCTCAGGGGAAATCAGTAGATATATACACGGTTTCCTTTTCAAATTACAGTATGTAATAAGAGGGCAGAGATCTACTCCTACTCTCAACCGCATGCACTTGACACTCAGGTTCATCAGAGTAGCCACGAGCTAAGTGTCCCGCAGGCTGGGGGGCTACACACGCAGTGTAAACCGTGCTGGGGAACGGCGAACAGCTCAGACCAGGCAGGAGGCCCCACCGAGAGAGGCAGCTTGGTGCGCAGAAGAGGGGCACCCGGCTCAGGGAGATAGATGGGGTAGGCCATGGCAAGGCCAAGAGGTCACAATCATCCCTGACAAACCTATGCTCATTTTGGCCTTATGTGAAGCAAATACCAAAGTGCCAGATCATCAGGAGTGCTCAGAGCCACCTGAACACTATGGGGAGGGTGTTTAGGGTTCGATGCTTTTGAGAATCTGCAGCACCCTCCACGCCCAGAGCTTTTTGATTCGCATTAGAAACAGTGTAAGGCGACAGCGGCCCAGAGCAAGAAGCAATGTGCTGATCGCCCCCCAACAGGTCACTTTGTGGGCAGGATTCAGCACGTGCATTGGTTCAATTCTTTTCCACCCCTGAATTCACTTGGTGCTTTCCTCCGATCTCTAAAAGCATCTATTTAAAGCCACAGCAGCGGTGATGTCACCAGAGGATGTGCTCACTGCATGCACCAATGAACCAGAACAGCCTCAAATGGAAACTCCTGATCTTGCTGCTCTGCTTTGGGGTGTCAAAAACAGGCGGACTAGCACAGGGACAAGCATTCCCCATCCTGCCAGGATACTGTGCTCCAATGCCACCCTGGGGTGACCCAGAAGGGGGTGAGGGGGCAGATTATTCTGTAATACCCCAGTTCAACTCTTAGCCCAACTACTGAGGTTCCCAACTTGATGCAGGAGAGACAAAGAACTGGGTCAGTTCCCAGGTGCCAAATGGAGAGCAGACAGCAGCAATTTCACTCCCGCTAACGCAGGCATCATTGGTAAAACCCGGAGGGTTGGCACCCCCGAGCCAGCCCCTTAGCTTTCCGAGTTGAGCTCAGCTTTGCAAAGCAAAAGCAAATGCAAACCTGCTGTGGCTAGAGCTCATCTGGGTGCATGTGTCCAGTGAGGCATGTGGAGCTTGCTACAGGTCCAGAAAATCAGTGGCAGTGTTAATCGCTGCTGCTCCTGGAGCCATGGCAATTACCGCTGCCAATATTCCCCAAACAGGCCATACTTAAAGCAAGTCCGACCTGCTTTGCGGGTTCTCCTGCTAGCAGTTTGCATGGTCACTGCATTCCACTGTGCTCTAGATCTGCACTGTAGCACTTGATTCTTACAAAAGCCACCCAGAACAGTACAATGGACAGGAACATTTGAGCTGGCTCACGTCTGATCCCCTTCCACAGTGTCTAAGTGGGTGACCAGGCGAGGTTGAGTGGAAAAGGCAGAGACAAGCCTTGAACAGAAGAGCAAGCATCATATGGCAACGCAATTCAACAAGCAACAAACAACATCAACGGGAGGTTCAGCTTTCATAAGACGCCAGTATTTCCAAACGCCAGATTAAAGTGACTGCTGTACATTGTACAAGTGAGCTCCATTGAGCTCTGTATTCTCAGGAACAAAACAAAACTGCACCTTTCTGCAAGAGCAGGAGGACTTGTTTAATCGGTCCACTGATACGGGGACCAACATGTCACTTGGCCTCTTCAGTTTGGTTCAAGGAACCTGGGAGTTGGCAAAATTGGTCTTGATTTATTAAAGTTTGACATGGAAAAAAAATTAAATTAACCAGACTCCCTACCTTCTGCTTCTCACAAGCCAATTTTTCCTTTGTTAAATGTTTTATTGATGTTCTATCTAACACTAGTTGGAGACAAGGGAGATTGCTTAAGAAAAGATGCAATATAAAAATGGTACTTTTCATCAGCATACCCATCCTCTGATACCTGCAGTTAATACAGGAATTGGAATCAGCATTGTGAGAGTGCGAGACTGCAGGTGAGAAGGATTTCCCTGATCCCCCTCCCCGTTTAATCAGCTTCCCAACTGAGACCTATTTTCCTTTTGTCATTGTGCAGTATTTGTCCCTGCAGTTTGCATTTTTATCTTATCACAATACACCTCCATCTGTAGCAGTGGACTTATTTACGACTTATTGCAGAACGTCGCTAAGAAAATAGCAGCAAGGTTTCTTCGTGCCGTGGCAGGCTCACAAAAATTCATTGAGTTCTCCCAAATCTGCGAAAAAATAACCCGCCCCCATGCTACAGTGATGAAGGCAGGAGTCTGTTTTTCATCAGCTTGGTTCAGATGCCAGCGAGGACGTGCACTGCCGCAAGTCAGAGCTTGGAGAGCTCCACAAGAGGCTGGAAAGTATTTATTTTTCATCACTACTGTCACAATGCAACAACAAACAATACTTCTGGGAGTCAATGGCACAGTGCATAGAGACAAAGTCACTTGCTTCTCATGTGGTGCCTAAGGGAACGGCTAAGTGGAAGGGATTTTGTCTTCTCAAAAGCTTGAGTGGAGAGGCCGGCACTAGAGGTGAATGTGGTGTTCCCGGACTCTGGCTGCTCTAATCACCCAGGACCAGATTCCACAAGGTATCTGGGCACATGCATGAACTGGACTGTTTGCAAGTTTGCAATGAGGCCCAGGCTTTGTGAGTCAAGACCTCTGGTCAGCACCCCATGGCAATAGCTTTACTTCCTACCCGTGTCAAGGACCAGGCAACTATAGCCCTCTGAAGAGACTCTTGCAAGACTGAGCTACAGGCATGGGTGAGAGGAAAGCTCGCTTTCTAGCTGAAATAGATTCCAAGTGATGGGTAACCACAATACTCCCAAGCCAAATTCAGAATGGACCAGGCTGGGGGGTGTTACTGAGAAGCAGGACTGTGCAGTCAGCAGTAAGGGGGAGGGACGCCAAGACAGGGAGCAAAACATTGCTTCTTTAGTACCTGAGCCTGAGCAGCTGAAGTAAGCAGAAAATGCAGAGCCCAGCTGGAACGGGACAGCCCAGCTTCAAGTCCAGAGATTTTGTGCTCAGATGTGTGCAGGCGGGGGTGGGGGGGACCCAGTGAGGGCACAGCTGATGAGTCCAGTGCTCACACAGCCAGTGGGAGGAAGGGAGCAGAAGTCCTCTCATGCTCAACCAAGTGCTACCTGCTCTTCGTACCATCTGCCCTTGCCCTAACCAGCATCTTACAAATGCAAAAGGATTTATTATGGTTCTCGTCCCAGGAAACATTGGCAGCCAGCTATCACAGTAGGGATAGATTTACCCTGGCAGCAATAGTTTTACGCTGCCGTGCAGTGTCACTGGAAGAATGTTTGCCCCCCAGCATGAAAGGGTTAAGGATCAATGACCTCTCTTATTAGCCCAAGGATGCCCATGTGACAAAAGGCTCCTGGTACCCCATGTCTACTGCTTCCAAGACGGATTTCCGAGGAGAGAAGAATTCAAGCCAATCCAGGCCACTCTGCGCCTGGAAGACAAGCGCTCTGTTCAGCTACTGCATTTACAAAGGAAACACAGAAGCAGATTGATGGTGCTAACGAACATCCAGCAAAGAGCGATTTCCCCACAACACACTGTGCAGGACCACACGTGCATACACACATGGCAAACAGCTGCTCAGGCCCCAGCATCAGAGTGGCAGTGTGATTTAACCCCCCAGCCTTAGTCTCCTTCTGTTGTCCTCCAGCTCAGCAGCCCATCCACTGCCCCCTCTGCATCTTCTCCTCCAGAAGGTGCCCAGGGCCCCAGCCTCTGCTCAGTCACATGCAGAAAGAAAGCAGAAACTCCTCAGGAAGAGAATAGGTTTTAGTCTGTCCGTGACAGATCACAAATTACTGGTCCTGTTTTGCCTTCCCCTATATATAAAGCAGCCCACAGCCACTGCTCCATAAGCGTCTGTCAGAGAATGAGTTACAGAGGCCATTTCCTTCCCCAGAGAACCTAGGAGTGAAATAAAAGTGCAGATGGAGCTGGGGTCATCAAGGTCCCACATCTACAGTGCTGCTTGCAGCAGAACTGAAAAGGAAGGGAAACTCAGTCCAATCAATCCCCCCACCCCCAGCTTTATCTTAAGACTGGCCTTGGTAAAAGGAAACCCTCAGCTCTTGAAGAAGCTGGCTCTTTACATGCTTAAAAAGGAAACATAAAACCAAAGCCATCCCAGGGGGCATTTCAGTGATAGCTCCAGAGGAATGTGGGAAGCCTTTGGATTTGATGTGACACCCTTCAGGGTCTGCCCACATAAAACCAAAGCCATCCCAGGAGGCATTTCAATACGACTGTTCAACAAAGCCTGAGAGTTCATGGGGAGAAGAGAGATGCTGTACCAATTGGGATGTCAGGTCACCTTTCCTTGAAGCAGCAGAGCGGAGCCCACTTCCCAGAGACAGAACATGCCTTGCAAGGTCTTGGGTATGAGCTGCCTCCTGGCAAGGACACTCCTAGCCATTGACACGCCTCGGAGAAACTAGTTCTACAGAATGAATCTCACACCAATTTCTCATTGTTGCTGAACTGGGTGGATGGAAAGGGTATGGATACGTCACAGTGGCCTCTGGTGCAGTTTATTTACAACGGAGCTCAGTGCTGGAGAATGTCAGGGTATTAACAGGCAGGAAACACACTGCGAAGGAAAGGAGAGAAGAAAAGTAAAGCATTAAATCCCAGACCTCAAGATCCACCCCACCAAAATCACTCACAAGTGAGTGTAAAATGAACACAAAGGATCTATCATGTACACTGGATCTACACAGGAAACATCCCTCTGATATGTAGTGCTCTCTGTCACTGGTTTTACCCTGCTCTATATAGCTGGCAGCTATGGACTACTGTAACTGTAGCAATTTACCCATTTCTCACATCCATCACCCTGGCAAAAAGAAATTGCCTTGCTTTCTTGCAATTCATGGAGGGGAGAAGGAAATGAGATTACTATAAGGAACAGAGCATAAGTTTAAGAAGCGAAATAGGCAGCTTTGACTCTTAATGAGGTGTTTTTGCTAGGGTTGCCTGCCAGAGGACACACACAGCAAATCATGCCCTGCCATGATTAATAGCAAACACTAGAGTGGTATTTTGGAGACATTGTCCACCAGATCAAGTACCTTGAAAGGAGGCAAATGATGAGGCCCAGATACAGTGATGGGGTATGCTTCCTCACTACACAAGACCTGGTCAGGCTTGCAGCTTCCCTCACCTCCAACATTAAATGTTCTGTTAGTCCAATTAATAATTTAGTAGATGAAAAGTTGAGACAAAGGAATTTTCACATCCATACAGCGCCACCTGTGGTTTAAGCTGTAGGTTTACATACTGCTTGTAGCATTACATAAAAGCCCTTGGCCAACTCTTTCTTGTTACCCCGATCTCAGTCCTCTGCTGTGCCAAAATGTACACAGAAAAAGCAA